TAGTAGTAGAGATACTAAGGGAGAAATAAAGGATAATAGTTGGGGTATCCGAAGAGATCTTGAGGCTGACACATGTGGATTTTAGTCCAGTATTTTTTAGCATCTGCACAAGTCCACCACATATGGTAATATGAGCCAGGTGTCTGATGACATTTCCAACATTTTTCGGATTTATTCTTGAACATTCTTGCTATTCTTGTCAGGGGAAAATGCCACCTGTAAAACATCTTATATAAATTTTCTTCTATGCTGTTGACATTGTCATTTTATAAGTTTGAGACCACAATTTTTGCCATTTCTCTAAATCAATCCCATATCCAAAATTCTTCCCCCAAGCAATCATAGTTTCTTTAACTTGTTCTTCTTCTAACACTAATAGGGAGAATTTCAACAATCAAAATGAATCTATTACCCAGAATTTTATATTTCTTTCAAACAATTCCAATTAGGCTTGGAAAAGATTACTTTGAAGATTTAAATAAAATTGTGTTGAAATATATATGGCAAGGTAAGAAAGTGAGAATAAAGTTAAAACTTTTGCAAGATGCTAGAATTAGAGGAGGATTTGGTTTGCCTAATTGGGAGTTGTATTATCAAGCTAAAAAACTGATGTGGGTTAAGGAATGGATAACACTAAGAAATACTAGATTGTTGACATTAGAAGGACATGATTTGTTGTTGGGGTGGCATGCTTTTTTATGGTATAAAGGAACTAAAACACAGGGGTATTTTAGAAGACATCATATACAGAAGTCTCTGTGGTTAAACTGGGAGAAGATTAAAAGCAATGTGATTTTTAAAGAAAGCAGCCTTGAGCCTTCAGAGTTTCCACAAATGCAATAACTTTTCCCAACAGTTTGTCCAGAAATGCCTTAATATTTGTTTGTTTGTTTATTAAAGTAGCTTACAAAAAAAAGCAGAGAAAGAAAAGAAGTGTAAACATAATAATAGGAAAGTAATGGAACACTAATGAAAAAGAAAACAATGAAAATACCACCATATGAGAATGAAAGATGGGTGGAAGGGAGAAGCAGGGAGGCAGGGAGCGAGGAGGGTAGGTAGAGATGTGGCTTGCTATCGATCTAGTAGCCACTTCCATTGTGATGATCCCCAGGCCAATCAGCAGGGCCAAGTCTTCAGACATTACTGCTGTTATAGAAACCAATTTCCATAACTTGGAGACTGACAAAGCTTATGCGGTGGGGGTGATGAAGAGTCATGGTTTTAGTTTTTCTAATGAGCCAGACGTATTCAAAATGCTGAA